CCCGCCCAGGGCTTCCCTGGCTGAGTTCCTCCCACCCCCCTGGCATGGCGACTCCCCACACATTTAGTGTTGACTCAGAGGTCACCTGGAAGTTTCTGAAGCCAGCCAGGTACCCGCCTCTGTGCTGTGAGAGTAGCCCACCTCTTCCCTCACCCTAGCTCTTATCATCTGTTTGCAGGCATGCCTGGCTCTGTTCTGGCTCTCCATGCACTGCAGGGTCCTTGAAAGCAAGGATTCAAGTTCTCCCTGGGAGATTAACATCATCCATAATGAACAACTGTTATTGTTAGTATTTTGTCTTACTGTTTCAGCTTTTTCTCTATATGTTTGATTTTTAAAAATTGCACATATAATACGGGCATACATGCTCCCTTATATCACACAACAAAAGCCATTACGGGTAAAGATACAATCCACTGCATCCCTAGTCCCCTTTCTCTCTTCCCTGCCTCACAGGGAACCACCATGAGGAGTTTAGTATCTTTTCTGGGACTGTGTGTTTTTCAATAAGCCATCTCTAGGGCCTATATATAGGGTTGCTATGAGTTGGAATTAACTCAATGGCAATGGGTTTAGGGCCTTTAGGGCTTGGGCATAGTAAGCATTTAATTTGTTTAATAAGCAACCAAAGTATTTTCTTAAACAATTCCTAGTCTGAAAACTTTCTGTCACGACAGGATCACTCAGCTTACGCAGCCTGGATGGAAGAACGTCCATGAGAGAGGACGGCCCCTGAGCCCACAGGCTGCCCCGTTTCCTCCCTGCAAGGTAAGTGTTCCACCCGCTCCTGGGAAGGCTGGGGCTGGCCTCTGAGAGAACCACCCAATTTCCTTTATCCAGTCCTCCAAGGACAGCGGAAGTCAAGACATCTACTTTATATGAAATCACCTACATACTTCTGATTTTGTTTATGACTGGTTAGAAATGGGCCAGAGAAAAAAATGGTCAGGCTGCCCTTGCCCAGCTAAAAATCAGGAGTGGACCCAGTAGGCAGATAACTTCCTCAGCCGCCATTAGCAAGGTTTTCTGATCATCGCATGAGGAGCTTTCTGAAACCAGGAAAGGAGCACCAGGGAGGAGGTGCAGCTGAAGAACTGCAGCTTGGGGAGAATCTCTTTTAAGCACAACTCTGCATCCTCATGTCCCCTTCCCAGCCCTGCTGCTGAGACAGGGGACAACTGTGTTCTGTTCCTTTTGCTAGGGCAAAGAAACACGCCCTGCCTTGAGATCCCCATAGCCTTGAAACACAACCTGGAACAGGAAGAGGATTGGTCAAGGGTGAGGGCAACAGCTTTTCAAGAGGAGTTCACTCTGTTCCTGCCCTGGCCAATCACTGAACATCTGCCCATGTGTACATCCTGGAGATACCTGTTCCTTTTGTCTGGCTTTTGTTTCCTGCAGGAATAATATAACAGCAATATTAAAAATCTACAATGGGAGGAAATCAACCTCTAATCCAAACAGCCTAATACTTGAACAGTTGTCTTTTTTTTCCAAGCGCCTTTCATTTGTATAATAAAAGTGGATATTGTTGTAATTATAATGTAGCTACTATTTGGATTCTCTTTTTCATATAGTATACCGTATATATATATATATATATATATTATGCCCTGGTGGCATAGTGTTTAAGAACGTGGCTGCTAACCAAAAGGTTGGCAGTTTGAATCCATCAGCCACTCCTTGGAAACCCTATGGGGCAGTTCTACTCTGTCCTGTAGGGTCGCTATGAGTTTGAATTGACTTGATAGCAACGGGTTTGGTTTCTTGTTTTTTGTTTTTTTATACCATCACTACTTCCCTCTACCATGGCTCACTATTACTATTTCAATGACTGCAAAATAATTTATTCACTGATAATTAGGTTTCCCTCATCCCCACCTCACACTGTATTCACTTGTTGTGGCCACTTACTCCTCAGCCTCCTCTGTTCACTCACGTCAGGCCTTTGACACATGAGTGCAGGAACGCCTCCTTGTTAAAACTTAAGAGTTCTCCACTGCAGGTGAAGCCATGTGTTCTTGCTCTTCCTCGCTGAGGTGGAGATGTCTTCTAAGTTTGTGAGGGAACACTTCTTCCAGGCACCCTGCGCTACTTGAGGGACTGCAGATAACCGAGTACAAAGGAGACTTGGCTACTCTTGTGCCGACACTTCAGTTTCTTCATCACTAAATGCTAGTAACAGCATTTCCAGGGAGAGTGCTCATTATATGGCCGACATCCACTCAAATGGCAGCAT